AAAATCTATTAAGTAGCAGAGTCAGGATCTGAACCCACAACTCCCTGGTTGTGAAGCCCATAGTCAACATTAACACCTAGCCCTCCTCAAGTCCAATGACTTAGCTCCACAGACTGTTTGGAAATCAATTTAATCCTCTCAATAACAGAAAAGTATTAAGAAGGTGATCATTAACATCAGCCACACCACCAACTCTAGCACCAATAATACCACCATTTTACAAAGAAAGAATCTGAAGATCAAGGAAGTCAGGAGACTTACCCCAAGTTACCCAGCAAGTAAATGATAAAGTCGATGCACATGTGATCTGAGCCAAACCTAAGGGCATGAAACTAGAGTTTCCTGTAAGAATGGAGGCTGGCTATAATCCTCCAGAAAATGTTTATACCTTGAAAAATATTTTATTCAACAGAACAATTATTTAAAGAAATGATTTGGTGTTCACAAATTAGAAATAAATTAGAATCTACTCTTGATAGATGCTTGCTTTTTCAACTCAAAGACAAAATTACATAGTTCTTTTTGGTCTGCTGGGTGTAGGTTGCATCACGACGTGTCTGCAGAATTTGGTACGAATCTCACCTAGTTTGTAATCTGCCCAAACAGCAAGAGATTTTGTCTGGATCATTTACAGAACCCCTGTGTCTCACACAGTACCAACATGTATTTGTTGACTAAAATGCAAATAACTCTGGAAGAAAAAAAATTTAACTCAAAAATGTTCTGCAAAATCTTCATAAACTATTCTTTTCAACAGAGGAAGAAATTGAGACTCAGAGAGGGAAAGTGAATTGTTGAGGACCCCAGAGATGGTTAATAACAGAGATCTAGGAATCATCTGTTTTAACTGAAAATTGATTAATTTGGGGTTCATAACATATTCCAGAATGTTGAAGCGAAGCGACTTTCTTTCACATCTATTCAGTGTATACGTAATTTGCTTAATACAATACAAAGTTACGATCTGAATCATCCTTTTTAAAACATAAATATATTGTAAATGGGGTGGCAGATACTGTATACACCCCACCACTATGTCAGTGCTAAAGTCATGTGCTGATTGAAGGAGAATTGATGGAAGGTTTCCTGGAGGAAACAGATCAGGTGAAGAGGAGGGAATTCAAGAGAGGAGGAACAGCTTCGGCACAACACAAGGAATAGATGCAGCACATGAGTGTTGTTTAAAATGTCAGGTCGTGGAGAACATCGGGTGCTCAGGTATTTTCATTTAGCAAAATCATAGTGTTGCCAAATGACAACTGATATCATGAGCCAAAATAAAGGGTTTTTAGAAGACAGATACCATTTCTCAGTACATCCAAATATACTACCTTACAGTACTACTGACGTCACTCCTCTCACTGTTTGCTATCAAATATGAGCAAGCTTAAAAAAAAGAATACCTGAAAACAGTCTCAGAAGTGTCTACATTTTGTAAATGCTTTATATCATTATTTTATACCTTTAAAGAAATGAAAGCATCTTTGTTTTCCAAAGTGATTTGGCATTTTAAGGTCAAAACTGAAATATTTCCTTGCTCAGTGATGCTGCGTTAAAGAGCCCTGAACCCCTGTACTCAGAAAACCTGGACTTAAATTCAATGAGTTAATGGCTGTAAGAAAGAAGCCTGGCTTAAAATAAGCCCTCAACTGGCAGGTATTAATTTTACCAGTAGGGCTGTTGTTACTAGTTTGTAATGAGAGCACTGGAAACAAAGTATTTAGAACACTTTAGAAAATATTAATTACTATTCATAAATAAACCTATTATATAGAGGCTATATAGAGATACTTTTATAGTTGGTAAGATTATTATCCACATTGAGCAGACCTGAGGAGATCATTTTCTCAACCATTTCTGTTTTCATGTATTTCTGTGTATGTTTTTGCTTTCCCACCGAATTGTTAATTCTTTGTTTCTGTCCTGTTTCTAGTTTTCTAGTTTCTAACTTTTTGGTAATTAATATTTTTTTCTGTAATTAGTAACAGTAACCAAGCTCAGTGTCTGACTGCACTGAGTTGTTGGATTCTGGTTTGGTTCCTATTTTCTGATTATAATTTCTATTTTCAAGACACATGCTTTAAAAAAAAAGTTTCCTTTAGGCTGAAGCTTGAGAGACATGATCTTGGCATAATTATTTCTCCAAAATAAAAAAAAAGTCAACCACATATTTTTAAGTTAAAACGGAGTTTTCCTGACCTTATCCAGTACCCACAGTGGAGAGTGAGAGGTATTTTGATTTCAGTATTTTTGGCAACCAAGAGTCTAATGACTTACCCATATAAAAAATTACAATGGATTTTACAGTATTGATTTTTATTATTGTTGATGAATTATACTGTCAAAATAACTTCAAAAACAATAACTTCAACATGTGATGCCTGTGTTGCCGTACTTAAATTAAGAATTGGAATAACCAATGTACATAAATTATGGAGAAACCACAGGGAGAATTAGTGCAAAATTCCCATGATTTGTGAGGGGAAATTTTTAAATTAATCCTTTGTTGAGTGAAAAAGACTATAAACATATAATTTGATTGTACCATCTTCCTTCCTGCTTGAGCTACTTAGTAGGTTACCGCAGTGTGCTGACAGTCTCTAAAGCTATGAGGCACAATAACACAATGGCAAGATAACCCTAGGAAAAAAGCATGACTAAGAGTATATTAAGTTACATTAAGCCCTTATAAAGAGCTTAGTTTGTGCCAGGCACTATTCTAAATGTTTTATGTTGCACTGAAGAAGAAAGGGTAGTTAGAGAAAAGGCAACCCCTAGCAAGGCACAAGGAAGTGGGGGACACACACACACACACACACAGAGAAATGGGGTTTCCAAGGAAAGAAACGAAGACTGAAATAAGAAGGTCCCAAATAAGTATGTTGTAGTCAAGTGTGGTGGAGCACTTGACTAGCAAGACTATATAAAGTCCATTTGAAAAGAGTTCATTAATTTGTAACTTTACTATTTCTAAATCCATCGCAGTGAAGTCGTTCAAAATATAGAGAGTACATGCCAATATATGCCGTCTCTGTCGTTTTCATTGTTATTTCCCTGGCTCTGAGTACAGTTTCTGCTCCCCTAAACTAAACTGCAGACTTGAATAATGCAACCTAAGCCTTACGCTCCTTTGGTATTCATTTATTAATTATTCAATCTTTTCAACATTCAGTTCTTGGGAGAGACCGTCTATTGGACAGGTTAAGATCTTGCATGTGGGAGCCAGCCTGCCTGTGATGAGATCCTGGCTTCGTCACAAGTGAAGTAAGTACCGCCCCTCTGTGTCTCAGTTTCCTCATATGGAAGGTGAGGATAATTCATTAATAGCACCTATTGCCTAAGATCGTGGTAAGGATGAAACGAGTTACTCCATGTAACGTGCTCAGAATATAGTAAGGCCTGATATAGTAAGGGCTATGGCTGGGCTAACAACCACGAAACCACTGCAGTACCTGCCCTCGTGGAGCCAGGGGCCTAGAGCCTACCAGGGAGACTTCCTCACAGCACTGTGTTCAGAAGTCAGCTAGGACACTCAACACTATTTGGTCAATCAAAGCTCATTGGCCCTATGATGATAAGTAACAATGTATATATATATATATATGCTTTTAAACTGGAGAAAAAAATATCTCCTCTAAGATAAATTTTGAAGAGTAAGAAAAACAAGGTTCTTCTGATGGCAGGTATGGACACTTATTCAAAAGGCACTGTCGTCCTGTAGTAGACTGCAATGGTGAGGCCTGGCGCAAGCAGCCCTGCCCAGGCTCTCCTATAAGAAAGCATTCCTGTGGTCACAGGCCAACTCCTTAACTCCCACGGGTCTCGTTTCCTAATGTTTAAAAGGACTGAACTAGGTGATCTCTAAGGCTTTTACTCACATATGACATTACATTAATAAATTCGGTGAATTTGTCTGGAAGGGTGAACGTCTCAAAATAGGTTGTTAAGAATCACAAAAAGCATCAGAATGCAAGGATGCACAAAACTAAAGGGCTGAATTCATGCTCACAAGGTATGTACTCAGAGTTGAAGAAAATGAATACCCTCAAGTTTGGGCTTGCAAAGATTTGGTTACTGGACTATCAAGGTATTCCCCAGCATATATGTTACATATTTGTTTTCAAAATGGTCTGTAACAGTGCATATCCTTAAACAACTAAGGAATGAAATAACAAATGTCTTGTTCCTTATAATACAAGTGTTCCTCATCATGTATCAAATATAGTTCCGGATACTCTAACTCAGTAATAGGAAAAATTAATGTCCAATTAAAAAGATAAAATGTATTTTATTAACATGCATTACAAAGTGTGGGGGGGAAAAAGGCCTCTAAATTGAAAGGAAATAAAGAGAAGAAAAGGAATTTCTAAATGCTCTCTAAAATGAGATGAGAGCTCCCATTATAAAGGGGTGGATGTGTTTTTTAATGTGATAAATTTTTTAAATGATCTCCAGTACTAGTCCTATGTATGTTTTAAGTAACCAAGGGCTAAATGTTTCCTTGAAACAATGAGCAACTTCAAAGCTGGAAAGACAACATAGGAAAAGAGATATTTTTAAGTGGAACTGAAGGTTTCATAGACCACACCAGACACTAGGTTAAGGGATGGTTCATCAAACATTAGCCACAGAGACAGCACGCCAAGCAATGCTTTATTTATTTTTGAAACGTTAACAAAGGAAATGAGTCTGAATAGTTAAAAATGTAGACTGATTAAAAGGCTTATACTATGAATGATGCTACTTCAGTTGTTGCAATGTGTAACAAGGAAAAGACCCTAAAATGTTTTGAACAAACAGCTCTAAAAGAAAATAATAACAAAATAAATATTTTAGTAAAATAAGCATCTAACAAACATGCAAAAAGTCTTCTGGAGGTTAAAATTTTCATTCTCGACTACTGTATTAGATATAATAAAGCCAATAATAATATATCCTTTTTAAGAATATACACACCACATCTATTTTTCTCGATCAGTATTCTGTGAAGTTTACCATACCTGTGGATAGCTGTCAGTCCTTGGCAAAACTGATATATCATAGGTGGCAGCAAAATGGCTTTTAGCTTGTTGTATTTGGCCATAACGTTCTCTTTTTCTCCACTTGGCCCTTCGATTTTGAAACCAAACCTAATTTTTTTAAAAAGTAGAATTTTAGCTGAGGAACATTTGAAAATGCAATGGCGATGTTAAAAGACACAGATCAGAAAGAACAAACCAGGTCAACAAAATCACTAAGAAAGAAATTTATGTCACAGAAGTATCCACAAATTTTACTTTCTATTTCACCCTGCTAAGTGGTATGTCCATAGGCAATATAAATTAATAGAAAGGGAGGAAATACTTAAAAAGATTATTTAATTTGTCTCAGCCTCTTTTTTTTTCATTTTGGAAAATAAAAAGGAGTTAGATTATATGATTTTGAAGACTCCTTATGTCTCCAAATTGTCATAGATAATCCTCCTCTCAGAGAATGCTGCAAATCTGGAAGACATTCATGACTTTTTAGTTTGGGGTTATGCACATAACATTAGCCCAGCCAAACTATAACCAAATTAATATCTGGGTCTGTCAAAACAATTATCTTTAGAACATGTCACAAAGTGAAGACTGTGCTGGGTTGTACCCATACTTAGATAATCTTAGAAAAATTTAAACACAAAGATTACATCCAAAACACATGGCACTGGCAGAAATATCACGATTATTTAGAAACAGAAAATATTAAGATTACATATTATATTGAGCATGATAAAGACTATGGGTAAAATGGAACCATCTGAAATTGAACTCTGGTTTTAAACTATACAAATGCGCTTATTATATAAATCACCCCACTTATAATTCTTATCTTCCCTTATAGAAAATGCTCAGAAATCTCCAAATCATTTCTCCAATATAAGAGACTTATAGGTAATATAAATAATAATATAAATCGGAAGATAGAACCAAGTTCAAGAAAGCCTATGAGTTACTACAGCCTCTACAGAATCACAAAGCTCTCCTCCAAATTTCTCTATTTCTATATTAATAATATTTGTCATAACAACCATCTTCCTCAGAGGGTTAAATAATCACTAATTCACACTTAGAGCTCTCCGGAATCTTCACTTTAGCATTTTAATGAGTTAAAGGGAGACACAAAAAGTTATATTCGGTATGTGTCATTTGATATTTTTGAGTAGACATTTCACAAGCAGCTGTCAGGAAGCTCTTCAGTCTTTACAGAACTATGTTCAGAATACAAAATGCTTACAAAAGAAGCTGGAAATCACATATCAAATGCAGATTGTTAAAACTGTTAAAATTTACTTGAAATTTTACTCTTTTTCATAATTAGCTGTAATCTTCTTTATCTTTACCATCACACTGATGGATACATATTAAGCCTCAGTTCAATGTGCAAGCATGTACTGCAAATTTAAGGTGGCACTTTAAAGAGTTTCCAGCAATTAAAATAAGGCAATGAGAGCTACCTATTCAGTATGGTTTCTTAGAACACTGTTGGTAAAGGTGTATCATGCACAATGCCCAGGGCCCAAAATAACATCAACAACAGAACAAAACATTTTTTCTTCCTGTCTTCACAGGCACTAGGAGCATAGTAAGGAAATTTAGTAATGAGGTTTTTTTTTTCATTGAGGAAAAAAAAGGTCTTTACAATCTCCTTAAAATAAGTATGAATTACCACTCTGATATGAAAAGCCGGAAAGAGAAAACGTGAGTAAATTAGGTTTGGGTTGGCTCTCTGTGCATGTTTTTAGACAAAAATTAATCAGGAGTTGATGAAATGTGAAGGGGAAAACAACCATTGTGCACAGCTGATCACTCTATATGTAAACATATTTTTCAATGGTTACAAGTATAATTAATTCTAATATATGAACACAAGGCAAAAAAATAAAACAGCACAATCATGTGGGACTGATATTAACACTTGACAATTCTAAAATTCTTCATTAGCATCAACTTTCTGTACATTTACTTCCTGAACTAAAATAAATAACTATTCACCTCCACAAGCTGAAGAAAAATCCTGCTGCTTGGTACTCCCGCACGACCAAATGTTGCCTTTAATGATGAAACGGCATTACAATGGCTTAATCTTCAGAAGAAATACTATTACTCTCAGGACAAAATTCTTCACTATCTTATTTATTTCTCTATTCTTATACTGTATGGGAATTGCAAACTTCAATATTATCCTAAAGCGTGGTAAAATGCACAAAGAAACATGCTATTCCCTGAAATTGTTACTTGAGAACTAATAAAAAGTAGTTTAAGAATACCAACTCTAGTAAAAATAAAATATGCCTAAGAGATAGAATTTTACCTAATATAATTTTTTTCAAATGATTCTAAAAGTTTAGTATATTGTGCAATCCAATTTGATAATTTGAATACAACTTATAAATATAATTGAGTATATATTTTAAAATTACTTCAAGATCATTCTTTTTATTGCCTCTGCAAAAAAGATATAAGCTATCTACATTTAAAAGTTAAAATGGGATGGCAAGGCAACTATTAAAGCTGGGAAAATTATAGAGGAGCTATACGATCTTTCTTTATGCATAGTAAAAATAAGTTATGGTATTTATAACAATTGCGAATTTGTCAAATTGTTTCATTTTTTTTCTTTGTTTATTATAACCCCAACCTCAATAAAATTACAGACCTATGGGCCATTACACATATAACTTACCAATACCTGGTATATAACCTAAAAAGAACCTTAACGTCTGATAAAATAGGACAAAACAAAACAAAATAAATGCATTAGTAAATAGATAGCTATGATTCTGTGTTTTTGCCCTTTAAAAATTAGAGATATTTATGACATTCTGTTGTTTTAAATAATCGTTAATTTGTATGCCTATGTAATAAGTCAAGTGTTCTTTTATGTTTTTGTGTGAGTGATTAAATTCTTTGCAAGGAAAAAGAAATTTTAGTAGACCTACATGCATATCATACATTGTTCTATATCTTTAGCTGGAGAATCAGTTTCTTCTTTTGTGGCAAAATGCAACCATTGAATTATTCTAACAGTATCTGCCCCTCCCAACACACACCCAAGGGCTTCATTTGGCTCCTACCTGCACCCTGGCCTCCGTGAGCTCTGTCCTCAGAGCAAGTTGCTCTCTGACGTATACGTCCGGGTAATGGGTTTTCTGAAAGACCTTCTCCAACTCTTCCAACTGCAGGCTGGTGAAGGTGGTTCGGTGCCTCCGCTTCTTACTGCTGGATACGTTGCTGTCACATTTATCCCCAAGTTCATCCAGTTCTCCCTTTTCTGGCATCCCTTTCACGGGAGACATCCGGAGACTATTACAGTTGTCCATAGCTCTATTTAGTTCTGTGTGAAGAGGCTGTCCTTCTACTTTAGTGATCCCATAGTTCACTGTATCCAGAGAGGGGAAAACAACAGTTCTCAGGATTGTGAAACATTTCAATGAAGAAATGAAGTTGAAGTAATTTACAGCCTCAGGAAAGCAGTCTGTTAATGATTTACTGTGCCAGTATGAATTCAAGCATCACATTGTGTACTACTATTAATCCACTTTGGGCAGGTTTAGGGCCATTTAAAAATGTGTTACATGGAACTCATATAATTTGCCAGATTTTACAGTTCTATTTTACAGGGCTAATGTAATGCTTATGCACATAATTTATAGTCAAATAAGGTGATCAAATTAAAAGATGCTCTAGATTTTTAAAAACTTGAGCATAATGTTTGAAAAGTGAACCAAATTTAATGTAAGTGATATATGTATTTATTCACAGCAGACAAAATCGAGCTACTTACATGACTCAAGAAAGACATTTCAATTTCAAAAACTGAAAAATTTCAATTTTAAAAATACCTGTAAACCCATATCCAAACTCTTCCCTAAAGTAATCTTCCTGCTCCACTCAAAACGTATGGACTACAGATTTAGATATGGTTTTGTTTCTACTATATTTTGAACATTTTGACTGTATATTCATGTCTGCTTTTTAAATTTTTTTTCAAAAAGCGACCTACTATATTAATGACTTTCGTATCAGTTTCTGGAAGTGCTTCTTATAGAACAGAATAAGATTTAAGACTTCTTTAGTGTAATAACTCACTTGCAGTTCTTTCTAAATAGGTCGTATTTACGTTTAACTCATGAAATACGTTTTAAGACAGAAAGTTTTATTTTTCTCTAAAGCAGAGACATTAAAACATCTATTAAAAGATTACAAAAGATGCCATCTTCCATTCTGTTTAGGGGTGTTTAACTTTCAGTGATTTCCTCCAGATTTGATTGCATGCTTGCAATATGATATAAAACAAAAATCTATCCTGTGGCCACACACACACACATACACACACACACGCGCGCGCGCGCGCAATGGATGCACATAATGAAACTGGAAAGAGTTTTTGAAAAAGTGAACCCAGCCAGAACAGTAATTTCCAATGAACTGCCATACTTTATTCGTTTGTATCTTTTTGAAAATTCTCTCATAACGTATTTTAGCAACTGTTCTAATCATTATACCAATGTTTTGAACTTTAAGACCTAAAATAACTTAAATGTTGAATATCCTTTATGCAAAAGATGGGATGTAAAACTAGATATAACGAAGAGCCATGAGTGATTAACAATAAGGTTTTGTGTTCGGCAGAGTTAAATGGGGAACTTCGGTAATTAGGGAGGGGGGAGGGGAAGCAGCCGTGAGGGTAAGGGCATCTCAGGAGAAAGACAGGAGCTTTCCTAAATTTAGCGAACTGCTGCCTACATTCATCTTACTTAATACTTTCCTATTAAAATTCATCCTAAAAGTGTGATTAAAAAAGTTGTTAAGGTATCAAAAATCACCTATTTCTCTTCTTATTTTGGATTCCCGACAATTTAAAATAGGATGTAGTCCTATCCAGCAGTTAACACAGGACATCAGAGAATCGTTTTTTTTTTTAATCCTGTCCATTCGAATAACTTTACGTATACATATAAGAATTCCAAAAATAAAGATACTGCAGTCTGAAATACAAACAGAAGGCCAAAAATTTAACATATTAAAAAAATTAATTGCATCTGTCTTTCTAAATAAATGACTGAAACGATTTAACTGATTTTCTCTGTCGTTCCCACCTACTATTTTGGTTCAACCTTGCAAGTCACAAGGAATCTGCAACGTTGAATAAGTAAAATACACGAGATTTTTTTTTAAACTTACTGTGTACAAAGTATTTAGAAAATGAGCTCCTATGAGCCAATACCTTGCCAGATTTTGACCCTCCATTAAAACAGGGGGCGGGAGGCTTGTTGTAAATATTTCACACTTAATTCGTTTGTTATTTTAAAGCAACCCGCTCCTTACAGCTTAACTGTGGAATATATACAATGATAAGGAAAAGTCCTCTTGCAATTGTAAACTTGCTTTAGCTGTCGCGATCTAAAAAAAATACGTTTGTATTGGGTTACAAGATAGAAAAGATAGATGGTTTGTTTTGATAACATTTTGACTTGGAGATACTTGGCCGTTCAAAGTTGAAGATTTTACCCAGAAGCATTCCGAGAGAGGGTTCTTAGGTGACTTTTAATGTAGAGTCAGAAAAAGACACAATACAGAGTTCGGGAGTGAGTGCTTATATTGGGGATTCTTTACTCGAAGCTATTGAAAGTGATTTGGTGTTAGGAAAAATTTATGTGTGCTCTATTGCAAACCCAAAGAATCCACATCACAACTTCACACAAACTAATCTAGCAATTTTCCAGCTTCACAAAGAAAAATACCGCTACGTCTTGGAAAACTTGTTTTGAAACGGTTTTTCACCTAAAGGAACTCAAAGTTTTCTGATTCGTGACGACAGTGACGTCCTCTAACGAGCTATGATCGATTTCAGCTCCTTCTGCGGGGGCAGCGCGTCGGGCTCACAGAGGAAGCGCGCTGTCTTGACTCAATTACACTCTATTTACCGTCCTATCAGTTTACGCCTGGGTCCTAGATACAGGGAGTCCGGGACCCATAAGGGACAGCACTCGACAGCTAAAAGAGAGCCGCGCGGAGGCAATCCAGTGCCTAATCCTTCCCCTGCCCCTCAAAGTCGGCTGCAGCCAACACCGCTCCTTAAAACGCTCACTCTTCCATTGCCTTCCTCCGCCCTCCGGGCTCTCTCGCTCCCCCTTTCCTTCCTTCCATCCTCCCTGCCTGCCTGTCCGGACACGTCCCCGCACTTAGGGTTTGCGGAAGGGTGGCGGAGGCTCGGGCAGGCGACTCACCGCTGCTCTCCTGACAGGGCGAGGTTCTCTCCAGGCGCACGTGATGCTCGGCGCGGGGCAGGGGCCCGAAGGCCTGCACGCATTTGCCCGCCGACGCTTTGCTGTAAAAGGACTCATTGTCCAGCGTCTCCATAACGTGCTCCAATGCGCCTCCTGCGCCCATGTAGAAGTCACTGTTTTTACTCGGCGGGCTCTTGAGGGCAAACTTCTCGCTCAGAAACTCCATAATCCTGGAAGGCTGTCGCGGAGCTCCTGGGGCGCGGAGGCTGGAGAGCGCTGGGGGAGGGAGCAAGTGGGCGGGAGAAGGGAGGGCCGAGGAGGGAAGGGGAAGCTGCCCGGCTCCGAGCCCTTTAATACGTCCCGGCTGGAAAGGGGGCACCCGAAGTTGCTTTTATATCTTGAAACTCAGCTGGGCTCTTCGGGCAACCTCCCAGTTCTAATGAATATGAAAATAGGCAGGCGACTAACTCCACCCCGGGTCCCCCTCCGCCCCCACCCCCCCACCCCCACCTTCCCCCACTTACCCGCGCAGGGCGCGTCCAGGCCTAGGTTAGACAGCTCCATTTCAGACAAATGCCAGGAGGGACGAGGCCCCGACACCCAGAAACATTGTCGCCGCGACAGTGGATTGGCATTTCGGAAGAGCTTGGTGAGATCGCAAAGCAGTTAACCCTCCACTCCCTGCTCTCTGCGCCCTTCCGGGCCGCCCGCCCGACACCCGGTCCCCACCCCGCCCCCACGCCGGCCACTCACTACCCGAAAGATTTAGAGGCGTCTTAAGAACTTGAAAGGAAGTATTTCTCTTAAAGGGCTTTTATTTCATCCGTAAATCGTTTATGTGGAAGATCCACATTAACGCGAATCCCAAGAAGCCAGATACATTGGCAGCTCTTTACTGGGTCGGCCGCGGTGGAGGGGCGGCTTCGGCTTCTAACCCGGAGGAGCTCGGCGTCCCGGCGCTCTCGGCGCTTACGAGCCCATGGCCTTTCCTTTCTTTCTGGAAGGCCGCGGCGTGTGGACGTGTTTGCGATGGGTGGGAGAGGGAAGCTGAGCAAGAGGCATTGAAAGCATTATGCCAATACCAATCTATTTCCTCACTCTCCTCCCAACGCTCCTTTTGGTCCCCGATTTTATCATTCGATCCAGATTATTTTAGGAAAACCTGTTAGGAAAAGTGCCTCCTTCAAAGGGACCTTAGTATAGGCCAGAGGGACGCTCGTTACACAAAAGGCTTATGAAAGAAGAAGGCCTTCCGCGTGGTTTTTAAAACAATTATTTTTAAAGAGTGGCGGTGGAGTTACTGTGAACAGCGCGTGCCGGGAGCGAGGGGCGCGCGCGGAGCTGGGCGCACTAGCGAGGCGGCGTTTCGGGAGCCGGCGCGGCCTGGGCCTGGGTTTGGGCCCGGGGAAAGGCGGGAGACTGGGGGGTGTGCTAGGGTGGGCGGGGAGCTAGCCGCTCCCTGAGGGCAGGACAGCACTGAGGGGTTGACATCCCCTATGAGTGGCTTTGGGATTGACTCTGGCTTCCGAGAAGCCCGCAGCGTCTAAGGGAAATATGTTCAGTGCCTTGGGCACGAAGAGGCAGCCATTTGCAACAGGCTCTTGAGCTGGCAAACTTGGTGAAAAGCTCCCCCAAGTTGGGGACTGTGGACGGCACCTTCCCAGGGAGGACTCCGTTCGAGGGTCCTGACAGCCTTTCCGGCACAGGCCTTCGCAGCGCCCGTCGCGCTTCCCTAAGCCAGCCTGGCAACGACGCCACGGCCTTGGGCACGAGATGGGTGACGCCAGGCCCAACTCTGGCAGGCATCCTGATGGGCTTGGGAATTTCCGGCATCTTGCGGCCTTGGCTGGCCCAAGACTCCCTGGTAGACCTTCTTCGAGGCCAGGCCAGGCCCGCAGCCTCGGAGGAACCACCGTGGAGCTCTGCGCACCTCTGCGGGGCTCCTTAGTTAGCACTGCCCTAGAAGCGCGCCGGCCCGGAACGCCCAGATCCCGGCGAACTGAGCCCGAGCGGGTGGCCGCCCGTGCGCCCGGGACCTTTCTCCCGAGAGAGGGCGGGGGGCACAAGCTCATTTCACGTGGCGCCGCGCTCAGCGTGGCCTTGAGTGCGCAGTCGGGTTCCTGAAAGTTGACACTGTTTCTGGAATTACGTAGCTCTTGCTGTCTTCTTACTCCTATCTCCCGAGACCCGCAGCCTGCACCAGCAGCGAACTGTTAAATCTCAAGGAGTCAAAAGGAAAACTTTCCCGGGACTGCGCTCCAGGAGATAGCCGGACTGTATCGAGACGCGGGAACAACGCTGGCATAGGTTGGAGGGAAAAAAACAAAAAACAGAACAAAACGAAAAACAAGGAAACGCTGGCGGGAGGGTACCCTAGGCGTCCGGACCACGCTTAAGGCAGAGTAGCAGCCATGTGCTTCCTGGGCACTTTATAGCTAGTTCCTTCGCTGCCCCTGCGGAAGAGTTGGGTGTCCAGTTAGCCACTCATTTCTGCGTGGGGTGATTTTTTTTTTATTCTCCCCTAGCCCCTTCTGTACCTAACCTTCAGAGATATTATGCAAGTCTGACCTTCTGTAATAAACATGGAGAAGATAAAAGAAATGGTCATTTAATAGGTTTTTTAAATTTTCACAGCAGCAAGAGTAACGCCTTGCTGACTTGAGGAAATACACAAACAACTCCTAGCTATAAACTTAGTTACGTCGTAGAGCTCTGTCAGCTTGTTTATAAATATGCGTCTTAAGAACCCTAAATTTCCTGAAAAACATTCGATGTATTTTAAATGAAAGACATATGATGCAAGCTCTGGGGTACTTGTATACCAATAAAGATCCAGCTCATAGAGGAAAAACTACAGAGGAGCCAAGGAAGATAGCTGCTTAGTAAACTGTTCCTATCTCACACCTCAAACCCGTTTTTGATGGTAGTGGTTGGAGGGATGGGTGCAAGGTGTCACCCACCACACTTAATATCCATGGAGCCTCCTGCAAATGCAAATCTATTACATGGAATCCTGTGTGTTTGGGGACATGTAACCACTTGTGCCCATAACAGAAGGAACAGCTAATGGCAAACTCCCATAACGAATGCTTAATCTGCAGTTTTTGGCAAGAAGTTGGGTCTCTGGTTGCCAAAAGCTGCATTAAATAGATTTTGAGAAGTTGAGATGGAGTTTATGGTAATGACACAGTTTTAGCCATTGGAGCTTTAATAATACACTTAAAATAATACTAATTAAAATAATAATTAAATGCTTTCTGTGGAAGTCTCAAAAAGAGAGATAAAATCAGATTGGAGGCTATCTCTCCTTCTGTGAGATCTACCTGGGCTTTTTCTGCCTGATGCTTTGAGGATAACCTTCTTGGAAATTGACCGTAGCACTCTGATAAATACTTTCTACCCAAACCCGGCATAACTCTTCCCTTCTCAGTAGGCTTTTAAAACCACCCCTAATCTTCATTCCTTATCCTTACCCTCTCCAATTCCAACCAGTCAGCTAGGTGAGGGCCCCAGGGGTTAGTGTTCCAAGGAACCATCAGCTGGCAAAGAAGACCCAGTTTATTAAGTCAGGTTCTAATTGGGATTTCATCTCAGCGGGCGCAGTCCATCACCCCCAGGCTACCATTCCCTTCTTTGCTCCACCTTTCTATTTTGTCTTTGAGGGTATTGTTGATTTCTTACTACACTCTGAGCCTGAGTTCTAAACTCAGGATTCTTCTCCCCATCTTTCACGTAGGGGGCTAGGGAAGGGACTGAGATGGGGAACCATCAGCTTCTTTTAAAGCCTAACAAAATTTAGGACATCTTAGGATCCCACCACCTTCAGGTCTCTGGGTGCTGTGAAGACACTGATGTTTCTTCACATTGCTTTCATGGGGGTGGGATAAGGCTTGTTGGGGGGGGGGCATCAGTAAGTAATGTACCCTAGTCCAGAAAGCAAAAGGATGAGGGTTAACAGACCTACTGTAGATTCAAGTCTCAACCTCTTTGAAAACAGGGGTTTCTCCTCATTCCTCTGGCACCGGCTATTTTGTGAAGTGACACCAATGCTCCAATTTGAAGTTACATCTAACATTCCTGCAATCAGTTTGTGGTTGTTGTTGTTGTTGTTGTTGTTGTTGTTAGGTGCCAATTCCCCAAACACAGCAATTTGGAGTGGGCTTTTTTTTTTTAATTTTCTTTATTTAGCTCCCAAGAGAGCCTAGAATTAAAGTAATTGAGTACACTGAAACTAGTTGAGAAGCCCACTGAAATGACTATTTGACTCCTCCAGACAGGGACACACACATGTAAATTCAGATAAGTTCAGATAAGAGATTGGTTGTCAGCTTGACTTATTTTATATTAAAAATAAATTCTCACGGTCTAAAAGCTGCATTTAATGTTCCCCTCCCCCATGAGAATATATTCCGGGAAATGAAAAATATTTTGAGTACATACATCAAAGCAGCCGTTGAAACGATGTGTAGACTGCTCTAGTTCCTTTCCTTCTCAGCTTATTGAAAGAAACATCACACTTATAGAGCAATAGTGGGAATGTCAAGATAGCATTGCAAGAACTTTAGTCTTAGCACTTTCTTTTTGTGGTGAGAGTTTGAGACATATTACTAAGTACAGCGAGGAAAAATGCATGCTGAATCAGATGAACTCTGCCAAATGTAGAAAAGCAAGGGTCTGGAGAGGGGAGGGAAAGCTGGGTGGAGGGAAAACTCTCAAGAAAAAGTACTCAAATAATTGAATGTCATGTATGATGGCAAGAAGCCAGGTGGCCTCGTGTTTGTGTGTGCTCTGCTGCTGTTTCCCTTCCTGGGCTTCATCTTCAGCCTCCCCACAGCTCTAAAGACATAACAGATACAGAAATACATTTTGCATCGAAGCAGTTCAAGAGGTGTCCCTCAAAATACAAATATATACACATGCGAAGAATTATTTAAGCTTTTCTTTTAAATACATGTCCCAATCCATCATCATCTGCTCCAGAAAACACACCTACAGACTAATTTATAACTCTGTCATGTTTTTGAAGCTTCTGTATTTCAATTAAAAAAAAAACAATTACTTGAATTTTAATCAATCCTGTCAGTCTGTCAACTGTCCTATTACAAAGCTCTCAACTATAATAGATTAAATTTACCTGCAATTTCAATAGTAATATTAAGTATTTTGGTATTTCAGAAACTCACATGATTTTTCAAAGAGCTATGCTTGTTTTTGAATTTCAACTTG